TCTCAGATTGGCTAGCCAGATATACGTATACGTCCAGAACTTCTCTTGCTCTCAATCTTGTCCTGTAAAATCAACTGTAGAAGTCGGTATTTATCATTACGCATGATGTGGCCAAAGTAAGCCAGTTTTCTATTTTTGATGGTGTTAATAATTTCTTTGTCTTTTCTTAACCTCTATATTACTTGTGTGGTGTATATATAAGACCCTTAACATACGTCGGTGGTACCACATTTAAAATGCCTCCAATCGTTTTATGACACCCTCTGTAAGGCTCCAGTTTTCTACTACATAAAGGAGGATACTAAAGACGTAACATCTAAGTATTCTTATGCGTATATTGATATTTAAAGATAAGTTGCAGAGAATCTTCCTAAGACTTTTGAAAGAGCTTCTGGCTTTTTAATACGAGTTTTTATTTCGTAGCTGTAATCCCAAGTATCTTTAACATTACAGCCTAAATAGCATATTTTTTCCACTTTTTCTAACGGTGTATCGTTAATTGTAATTTTGGCGTTTATGCCGGTGTTCTTACTAATGATCATTATTTTTGTCTTTTGCAATTTAGTTTTAGGCCGTATTTGTTACATGCTTCTATAACGTTATCCATCATCCTTATCCTATATTATTATCGCTACGTAATTTCTGTTTCTTGTTGTGTCGTTTCCAGAATAATAGATATGGTATTCATCTATAATTCTTATTCCAGAATTTGGCCATCGAACTTCACTGTATCCTAAAATATCTATGTTTTAAAATAAAAATAATAAAGTAACTTTTGGGCCATTATTGGCTTACCGGATGATATAAATCCAACATTTTAATTTTTTATGTTTTTATTTCATTTAAGACGTTATAGATTTCTTCAGGCCTAGAATAAAATTTTATACACTGACCATTTGAATGTGCATTTAAAATTTGTATTTATTTTTAAAAAGTCTCATTTCCCTACTGGTTTTATTTTCAAGGCGTGTTAAATCCTTCTTTTTCTTCTACGGCACTACAGCCCAAAATGAGCCTTGGCCTCCTTTATTTTTTGCCTCCACCCTTGTCTGTCTGTGGCTGCTCTTCTCCATACACGGACTCCTAAAAGTGCTTGTGCGTCGCTGCTTACTGTGTCTTCCCAGCGCTTTCTTGGCTTTCCAACTGGTCTCTTTCCCTGCATTCTGGCGTTCAGTGCTCGTTTTGGTAGCCTATCCTCTCCCATTCGTATCACATGTCCGGCCCATTGCAATCTTTGGATTCTAATGAAGTTTGACAGGGGTGTTTCCTTATACAGTTGATAGAGCTCGTTGTTATATCGAATTCTGAAGATTCCGTTTTCCCTCACAGGTCCTAGTATTCTCCTCAGTACTTTTCTTTCGAATGTGTCGAGTTTGTTTTTGGATGTTTCTTTCAGGACCCATGCTTCGCTGCCATAACATGCTATTGGCCGAATTAAAGTTTTATATATTCTCATCTTTGTATTTCGGTGGACACTTTTAGACCGAAATATATGGGAGAGGGCAAAATAAGCTTTGTTTGCCTGCGTTATCCTTTTTCGTATTTCTCCATCCTCTGCTCCATCGGCATATATTTCTACTCCCAGGTATGTAAACTTTCCAACCGTTTCAATGTCATCTTCATGTATAATGTTTTGTGGGATTATATTTCTTCTCGTCTGTACCATTATTTTTGTTTTTTCTGTGTTAATTTCCAGACCTAGCCTTTTCGTTTGTGTTTTTAACTCTGCGTATGCTTCCTGTGCTCCTGTTGATGTTCTACTCATAATATTAATATCATCGGCGTAGGCAGCCAGTTGAACCGTTTTATTGGTCAGTAGGTTTTCTCGTCCAGTTTGCATTTGCCTGACCGCACACTCCAGTGCCAGGTTAAACAATGTTGGTGCCAGCCCATCTCCCTGCTTTAGTCCCTGCGAGATTTTGAAAAAGTCTGTCCGGTTGTTTTGTATTCGTACACATGCCTGAGTTTCATCCATTGTGGCTTTAATGAGTCTAATTAGCTTATGTGGTATTGCTAATTCTGCCAATATATAGTATAGTCTGTCCCTTTTGACTGAATCGTATGCCTGTTTGAAGTCTACAAACACGTTGTGAACATCAATGTCGTGTTCCCACGATTTGCTCAAGACCTGCTTGACTGTAAATATTTGATCCATTGTCGATCTTCCCCGTCTGAAGCCCGTCTGATATACTCCAATAATATTTTCTGCTAAGGGTTGGAGTCGCTGGTTTATAATATACGTGAGGACTTTATACGCTGTACATAGTAGAGAAATTCCACGGTAGTTTTTGCATTGGAGTTTGTCTCCTTTTTTATAGATTGGTGTTAAATCCGCCTGGCTTATATATAAACGCCTAAAGGTCACGTAACTCATCATGGGTATTTACTCGTTTGCTTGTATAATAGTTAATTGTACAGTAAGCGATAAGCATCTGTGATACAAAGGTTCATTGGTTTTTTTTATTAATTTGTGGGAATGACACTAATAACTAGTTTTTAGAAGAGCTTTCATACGGGTTATACCGCGAGAAAAAGATCATCATCATCCTCATCATCATTAACCGATTTGCATCCACTACTAGGCCTCCCATAAATAATTCCATTCCATGATATCTTAAGCACCCTTAATACAGTTGTGCTCGATGCGCTTAATGTCGTCTAACCACCTTGTTGAAGTGCGTCCTCGATTACGTACATATATACATAAAGAACATAATATACATAACAAAAAATTGAAAAAGCTTTGCTACCAACTGATTACCACATTAAATTTAAAAAGTTTGGATACGTGTTTTTTCTCGGCAAGGACTGGTTTACTCATGCCTGGAAATTATCGGTTAGAAGGTGCATAGCCTTAGAAGTCGTCTTCAAAACTACAAATTGGTCAACATATGGCACCAACGTCAATGCCAATAAGGTAAACTAACTTAACAAATTATGATGAAGAAATTTTCAGACAGATCTCATACACCAGCCTCAAAATGACTATAACAAAGAAAAAAACAATGAAAAGCACAGGCACTCTAGACCTGTACCTAGAATCCTTCTTCTTCCTTTGCCTATCCGTTTCGGACGTTGGCTATTAACAAGGCTATTTTGACTTTGTTTACGGCACCTCTGAACAGTTCGGTCGATGTTAGTCCGAACCATAGTCGCAGGTTATGCATCTATGAGTGTCGTCTTCTTCCCGGTCCCCTCCTACTGTCGATTCTTCCTTGGAATATTACCTGTAGCAGCCGGTGCTTATGCCTCATGACATGTCCGAAGTACTCAAGCTTCCGTTTCTTTACGGTGAAGATTATTTCTTTGCTTTTGCCTATTCTCTGCATTACTTCCATGTTAGTGATGTGGTCTGTCCAGGATATCCGAAGAACACGGCGATATATCCACAGCTCAAAGGATTCTAGTTTCTTCAGGGTGGCTTCCGTTGTGGTCCATGTCTCTGCTCCATAGAACAAGACCGGGAAGACATAACATTTGACTAGTCTTAATTTTGGTTCCATTGAAATTTTTCTTGTGAACCACTTTTTCTTGTTGTTGAACGCGTTTCGCGCTTTTTCAATTCGTGATCTTATTTCTGTTGACTGGTCACATTTTGTGTTGGCTGTGGTTCCAAGGTATGTGTATGTCTCCACTTGTTCTATTTTTAGGTTGTTTAATGTCAATTGCATCGTTGGTTGTTGTGTTCTGCTGATGAGCATGCATTTAGTTTTGGTTGTATTGAGTTCTAAACCATGAATACCTAGAATACCTAGAATAAATTCTGAAAATTAACATAGATAACCAAAGAACGGATATTACCAGGAGAGCAAGACTGGCATGAGCAGGATTTGGAAAACTTAGTGGGATACTAAAAAATTGCAAAATACCCCAATACTTGAGGAGTAAACTGTTTAATTAGTGAATTCCTTTCATGACATATTAATGTCAAACCTGGACCCTAACTAAGGCAAATATGAATAAACTAGCCATAATAGAAAGGGCAATGGAAAGAGCAATATTATGTATATAACTGTCAGATAAAAAGAGGAACGACTGGGTAATATCAAAATCAAAAGTCGAAGATATCACAACAAAAAATGGCAAACTCAAATGGAGCTTAGCAGGTCACACTGCTAGACAAAACGACTAACTTTGGAATGCCACCATCCAACACTGGAAATCTAACAAAGGTAAACGACTAAGAGGAAGACCAGAAATGAAATAGGTAAATGAAATAAAAAGAAGAGCAGACACAAATTGCGAATATGTTGCTTAAGATAGAGATCGATGAAATGAGTTGGAAAAGACAAATGTCTAAAGATGGACATTAAAAGAAGCTTATTTTCATACTTTGGGTGACATTTCTTACTGCCAAATTCTTCATATTTTGGTAATTTTGGTTATAGGTATATTCATACTTCAATTTCTGATTATATTACTTATTCTATATAGTATTCTCTTTATTTGATTTTATTAATATTTCTATGATTTTTGTTATCAAGTATAGTTTATTTATAATAATTTCGAGTTTTTTTTGTTGATTAATTCCTTAATATTAACATTGTTGTATCGTTAACATATATCGTCAGTTACATTATTGTTATTTTTTCGAGCCGTTCTTCCAAAATAAGAATAATAATACATATATTCACTCTATACGTTTATTAGAATGAAAGATTAATTAATCTTTCAGTGGCTGTATGGTGTACATAGTTGTTAATCATACATATAGAAGTGCAGTGCGTACTGCTCAAGGGTTAAAGCTTGCCTCAATTTCAAGAAAATTTAGTTCGAGATCTTCTAATATTATTTTTTAATAAGAACCTATCCTTTCTACAAATCGACAATGAACCAAACTTAGACCGAGATTAATTTCGAAAAGAAAAGGAAAAATTTGGTAAATGAAGATGGCGTTTGCTTGTCATAAGTCAAAAATACCAAATTTATTTCATAACACAGTGTTATAATTCATATAAAATAATATTTTATCCGAATTACATTAATATTATTTGTTTTAGACAATCCATCAAGACGACATCTTTTGCAGGTCAACAACGTGACCGATCATCCCGGTGAAAATTGCACTCCTCCTGCAATTGACGAATTTCCCTCAGATGGCTTTACCAGGGAACAACGAAGACATGGCGCCATCGTTCTGCATATACTGCTGTCTTGTTATTTGTTTGTGTTGCTGGCGACAGTATGCGACATCTATTTTGTACCCGCTGTCAAAAAATTCTGTAGTAGTAAGTATATTATTATTGAAATTAAGTTTTTTACGGTCATTTCGTAAGCATAATATAAATATTTACCATTTTATTTAAAAATAAGCTTTATGCGCAATTTGTACGCAATAAATTGATATTAAAAATAGAATATGTTATGACAAGAATTCATAATTGGATTAACCCAGCTGAGGCATGTTTTTTAAGACTTCAAGGTGAACTAGAATTTTTTGGAAATGTAGAATAAAAAAAGTACAATACATATCCCTCTTCAAATACATATATAAGCTTGCTTGACTTATAGAGCACACTGGGACCTTTCGTATTGAAAAAGCGTTCGGATAGGAAAAAACATGTATTCTAAATTGTTGACAACTGTTCCTGTAAAACAATAGATTGGAACGAGACAAGAAGGGTATTAATTAGGGTGAAACGAAAATGAACGAAAATAAAAAAGTTGAATAGCGTTGTGTCATAGTTGAAAAAATATGCTTCTTACAATCAAAACCAAGAATACGAAAAGGGACTTTATATCCTGAAGTACAACATATTTGATAATATATGAACTTTTCGCCTCTAAGCTAAATTTTTTTTTTATTTTTGTAAGACATTCACACAGCAACTGATATTAGACAATGAAAGAATTGAACACGTGGATTCGTACATCTACTTGGGAACAACAGTTAACTCAAATTGGAATCAAGCGAAGGAAATACGTATAAGAGTAGAAAAGGCAAGAGCATCGTTCACTAGCATGAAGCAAATTTTCACCTCTAAAAGCCTCACCCTACCTCTCAAAATTCGACTTCTGAAATGTTAAGTATTTTCCCGTTTTTGTTATATGGAAATGGAGGCGTGACATGACCGCAACATTGATGAAAAAAGTAAGGCCTTCGAAATATGGGTTTACCGACGAATAATTACGTATATCCAGGACGGTGAGCACGTGACCAACGAAGAGGTACTACGCCGATAGTAAGAGAGAGAGGCAGAATAAGTATAAAGAAAAGAAAGTTGGAATACTTGGGTCCCGTTATTAGACATAATAAAATAAAGAGTACTAGAGTCTGATCGTTCAAGGGAAGATAGACAGCAGAAGGGGTTCAGGGAGGAGAAACACTCGTGGGCTTCCAAACTTGCGCATGGTTCGGATTGTTATCGGCTGAACTATTAGAGCTGCGAAACAAAGTCAGAATAGCGCATGTTATGCCAAGTCGTAGGACAAGGCACATGAGAAAAAGAACAAGAAGACATTCTTGATACATATTTTATTATGCTGCTTTAAGGTTGTAGGAAATCACCAAACTATTCTGAAATTGAAATTTTATTATTTAATGAATCTAAAATGACCTAAAAAATAGCAAACTGAAACAAAAAGGCGTAGTTAGTTAAATAAACATTTTATTAACTCAGAATAATGAAAAACAAAACAATAACACCAAAATGAACTATTAGGTAACTAAAGGTTGAAATCATTACCCATTTCTATTTTAAAGTAGTCCTCTTTTTTTTTAATTATGGTAACATTTGTCTTGACTAAATCCTGTTTTTTAATAAACCCATCGCGATTACTCTGCCACACCTGCAGTGACGCATTAGTTCCTAAGCAACGCAACGTTCTCTGCCTCAAAGTATTACAAGTAAATAATGGAAAATCGAAGTAATTTAAACTAGATACTAAATCGAGATTCCTCATCATATTCCTTGTCATTGGGGGTTCAGTAGCACTTACCTTTTACCAAGATATTAACTCCGAATAATAGCCAGTCATCGAAACGAGCTCAGGATATTAAACCCTATACATTGTCTACCTTCACTCCTTACCTTTAGAATACTCTGTATGCAAAGGTCTTTGTATCTTAGATCTTCTTCCTTAAGGCTGACAACAATATATCTTCCCAGATGAGCAAAAATACAATTACGTTGGAGAACGATATATAATTTTTTTAACCGTTTCAGGTAGTAAGCTACATGATTTGATTAACTGGAATAAGTGTCTTGATCCATCAACACATGAGGGGGAAAGTTCACTCTAAACCAAAAGGGGCATAGACTTTGGGAATATAAGTTGCCAACAGACAAAAACTTTCATCTAAAACTTCAGTTGCTACGTAAAGCCTCATTATTCCTGTAACCATCTAGCATGTGACATTTTCCCTGGATTTCTTGAGGACAATGAAGCAGATACATTTCCAATATACAACTATTGCACGTGTTCAACAAATACTGTTAATCATAACATAATATCAGACATTTTGCAATCCGGCTGTGAAAGATCTGAATTCTTTTATACTTTTACTGGCTGATTTTTGCAGGATTCCAGTTTTTTTCCAATTAAACCTTTGTGTGAAATAAGCAAATAAGCCACTGCAAGACGGCTTAGTCTTTCTCAACAACGAATTACCCATTTTTTGCTCGGTATTTTACTGTCGTTCATTCTGATCCAACAGCAGTTAAGCCATTTAAATTAAAATTTTGGCGTTAAAAAAGTATAATTGGTGCTTTGATATTTGATGATGAACCACCTTCTGGAACGACGTCTCCTATATATTGAGAACCTGGTTCACTAACAAGAGATATATGTTCTTCTGTAATACACCGGCGTTTATTTGCAGTTGGTTCATAAATTCGTGTTTGATCATTTGTGACGTCAAAGAATAATCCTAAAATGCAAGTTTTTCCGTGGTTTTGGCCATAAAAAGTTCTCGTTGTGATGTTCGGGCTCTTCTAATTTTCATTTTATCTACTGTCATTGTGCCATTTTCTTTTGATTTAATACGTGTCTTCCAAAGCAGCATTAACTATTATAGCTGCTACACTCTAGTTCTAACACATAAAAGTGCCACAGATTGTAACTTTACTCACAATTGCGATAAACTTTTATTTTTCAGATTTGATTTGTCTAAAAAAGAAAAGTTTTTGTGTTTTTACTTAGGTACATGCTTTATAAAAATTATAAGCTAAACTTACCCGACACATCATATGGACCTGGATCGGATCTTTTACCAGGAATTTCATTTTCCTGTTCTTGACAGATGCTACCGATTCCAATTTTAGATTTTTTCTTGATATGTAGTAGAGAAAATTTGTTTTAATGTATTGTTTTTAGTAACAAAATGTATCTTTTTTCCGCTTTAACAGCTTAAAAATATTATTATTTTATTAATATCTTTATTACAACGTTATCAGAAATCGGAAATTAAGAAATTTAAAGACCTTGAGGAACCCCTAAATATTAAAATCAGTAAAGCAACTTTTGCCACTTTTTTCTTGTTAACACTTACGTATATTTTAACAACTATGTCATCCTACATGGAGAAAAAAATTTTCGTTCCACCCTAGTATCCATGTAAATGGAAAATTTGAAAATGACATCGTTTTCATTCCGGACAGCTCAAAAGCCCATACTGTCACAAGAGTCCTTAAATAATTTTTTAGAAAACTAATTTATGACCAATTTGCCCCACAGCAAAAAAAAGAAATAAATTTATTTTTAACATAACTAATCAAAAAACTAGCGGATTTGAATTAATTTATTGTCAAAAGAAAAGAAAATAAATGCAGAATTAAGAAAATAACAAAATAAAAACATGAAATAACTATTATTATTCTTACTAATCTAAGGCTAAAATAACCCAAACATATTAGTAGATTTAGCTAAACTTAATCAGATTCATCAGCTGAAGGATTAGTAAAACGGTTATAACAACTGTTGCAAATAATATTGCTATGCTCAAGACATAAAAATGTGGTTCAACATTTTTACTAATGTATTTGGACAAACGCGTCGTCTTTGTCGCATAGCCTGAACACTGGTAGGGGTTCCAGTTCAACAGAGAATATCTGTCAATGAAAGAGCTGATGCACTTGTCAGAAGCGCATCAGCTGAAAAATTCTTGGGTTTAGAGCCGGCTGTCGGAGTACTAAAATACATTCTCCTCTGCTGGAAAAAAGACCAGGTCCGAAGGCAACATAACTCTTACTGGAAAAATATACCTTGTCAAATAAGTGACAAAATATATATGGAACAGACATGTGCTAGTAGTACTACAGTACTGCGAAAACAAGCAGAAATTAGATTAGAATCATAACAGGATTCCTTACTGCATATGCACCAGTCAAGGGACATCTGCAAATAAAAGGATTGTTTTATAAAGACTTGAGCTGCAGACTCTGTATTAGATATCCTGAAATAGTCAACCATATCTTGCATGATTGCACTTTTTAGAGAAAACCAAGTGCCTTCAAAAATATATGCTACTAGACCTGTATAAGCTGGTACAGAGTTCCAGAATCTTGGAATGGGTATTACGAGGGAATGAAAGGTATACAATATACAATAAGCCGATTGGCTGCAGAACAACCGTTTTGTAACAGACGGCTTCCAGAAAAAAAGTAGTTCTTCTTCTTTCTTGTATGTAGGCTTTAAAGCCTGTTTCTTTTACATTAGTCTCAGATATTGTTTAAATTATCGCATTATCTTTTTTTGATCGGCCAATACTTCTTCGACCCTTTGGTAGCTTATCTCGTGCTATTTATACTATCCTATCCTCTGCCATTCACCCATCCATTTATGTCTCCTATATTGCATGCTTTTCTTATGTTTTCGTTTTCTTCCTATTTAATAGACTTTGCTCTAATATTCATCAGAGTATTTTTATCTCTGTTGTTTCTATTAGTCGTCTTATTTTAGATGTGTCAGGTTTTGTCTCCGCCGTGTATGTTAATATAGGTCTAATTGTTACTTTATAAATTCTTGTTTGTGTCTTGTCTTGGGTAACTGTTCTTCCAGATTGTGTCATTAAGAGATTCTGCCGCTTAACCTGCTTTTTAGCTTTGTTGTCGTACTTTTTCTTTAACATCTGCGTAACTAGTTATATCTATTCCCAGATATCTAAACCTTGCTTGCTGTTTTATTATTTTCCCATCAATTTCCATTTTATATCGTCGTGGGTATTTAGATGTTGCCATATATTTGGTTTTTTTTATGCTGAAATTATCATGTATTTATTGGCTGTTGTTTTAAAGATGTATGCTAATCTTTGGAGTATGTCTTCTGTCTCGGCGATTAATACCGCATCGTCTGCATAACATAATATTTGAATTTTTTTGTTTCCAATTTTGAAACCATGACCTTTACGTATTACTTATATTGTTTCGTCTATCATTACATTAAAGAGAAGTGGACTTAACGAGTCAAGCTGTTTGACTTCGCTTTGCACTGGTATAGTCTGTGTTAGTTTTCCATGTATCTTTGCCTGTATTCGATTATGGAAGTAGATGTTTTCGATGGTTTGTATATTATTGATTGGTATGTTTCTTTTATATAGTAGGTGTAAGACGTCTTGGACTTGGTTGCGATCGAAAGCCTTTATCAGGTCTATAAAACATAGATATGCTGGTTTATTGTACTCTATGGCCTTTTATGTGATTTGTCTTTGTACAAATACAGCGTCTATGCAGGATCTTCTGGATCCGAAACCTTGTTGTTCATCTGATAAGTTGTTAGTTTATTGATTTTGTTAGTTAGGCCTTTTGTGGCATGCTTAAGTGCGGTGTTCAGTAGATTTATACCTCTATAATTGTTGGGATCTTCTTTATATCATTTCTTAAACATTGGTATAATGATGCCAATGATGTTTCTCCATGCGTCTGGTATCTTGCAGTGCAATATTAGTTTTTGTATAAGTTTTGTCATCTCTAGGTTTATGCTTTCTCCTCTGTGTTTTAGATTCTTGTTGGTTATTCCGTTCACCGTTTTTATTTATTTCCGTTCTGGTGTCTTTCTATTTTTGAGTGAATCTATGGCTATCTCTACTTCCTAAAAACGGATTTCTATTTCTTGTCTTAATTTAGGTACGTTATTGTATTGACTATTATTTTCCTTTCCCTTAAGCAGTTCCGTCAGGTAACTTTCCCATTTTACTGGTATATTATTGTATTCCTTGAATTCTGTTATTTCTTTCTGTTGATTTCTTTAGAATCTCCATATTTGTTTTTTTTACCATCTCCACATATTACCGTAGATGTCGAATTTTAGCCTTTTTGTAAACTGTTCCTTTTTTCATGTTCATTTTTTGTTCTTCTTGTCAACTGCTTTGTTTCATTTCGTTTTTTTCTATAGGGGTATCGGGATTCTAGAGTATTTGCTATTATGTTCTTCGTGTAGGCCTCGCGTTTCTCTTTACATTCCTCTTTTATGTTTTTTTTTGAACCATGGTGTACTGTTGTTAATTAAAAAAACGTATAAGTTTTAAGTCTGTCTGATAGATAAGTGTTACGAATCATAAGAATGTTATGAATACAACTAAATAATTAGGTCAAGTATCAAGATAAGTTAATAATCGGTGGACGAAAATAATTGTGGAATAATAATGGCATAAAAAGAGTAACTATATATTAGATTATTTAGATGGGGCAAATGACTAAAAGGAAAAATCGTGCGAGAGGTCTATGTTCAACAGAGAATGATGATTGTGGTGAACTTATGAAGAAATATAAAAAGAAGATTCGAACTATCATAGAGAAAAACAGAAAATATTGATAAAAATATGTTACTCAATGAATGTTTAAAAGCTTGTCAATTTTCTAATGAATTTGTTATAAATTAAACGTATTGCATTTTTTAACTATATTTTATTAACATGTTATGCATTTACTTCTTTTAAAAAATGTCGGCAATTAGTAGCCTGAAAAAAATTTAATATTACTATATAATAATAAAACGAAATTTACTACAACTCTTTACCAACAGATAAAGTAGATAAAACTAGACTAGGTTTAATCGCTATTATTATTTTTTAAAAGTCAATGTTATCGTTACAACTAATATTATGTACATATATATTTACTAATTGGTAGGTTTTTTTTTATCTAATGATAACAATAATAAAAAATGAAAATTTCAACATTAATTACAAAAATACGATTGCTAAAATTCACTATAGTTTACTTCCTTATAGTCAGTGGTTCCCAAAGTGTGGGTCACGAATCTGTAGGGATCGCGATAAAAATCTGAGAGGGTCGCCAAATGATTTCCAAATAAAAAAGAAACTTTTTGTACCTATGCTTGCAAATAATTTTTCCAAACATGCGAGTTTTTTCTTTTCCTTTGATGAAGTGTACTACTTCAACGACACTTTTTCATACAGCTTCTCGATGTAAAAAACAGTTTAGCATTTGGCATTAGTTCTTCCAATTTAACAATAAGACAATATCGATAGTGGAAAAATATTAAATTTGTACATCGGAAATAATTGACGAAAAGGACTTCAATATTACTACTTGGGTTTTTTTGGGGCCACTGAATATGAATATCATGACGGCGATCGTTTGAGAGGTACCTGGTGCATCTGAGCCCCGCCTCCTGGAGTTTTGTAGCTGGTGCAAAGGACGAGCTCTGTCTCTCATAAAGTTTTGTGGAAATTCGACAAATAAAATCAGTAAAATCTCGATGCTAGAGGGTATTGGGGCTGCAAAGCACCAATATTATGTCGGCGATGGTCTTTGAGGCACAAAAATTTAGTAGGTTTATTGCTTTATTGTCTAGCCTATTAACCGTTAATATTTTTTAGATTTGAAGATGAAAGAGGATATTGCTGGAGCAACCATCATGGCGGTGGCCAACTCCAGTGCTGAACTATTTATTAATTGTGTTGGTACGTTTGTAACCGAAGGAGATTTGGGAATTGGTACAATTGTCGGATCAGCAGTATTTAACATATTAGCTATACCAGCCAGTTGCGGTCTTTTTGCAAATATGGTAAATTATGTTAATTTTATATATTTATTATGTTTTCCTTCCTTTTTGATCCTTAAGTGTTTAACGGTAGATAAAATTATTGATAAATTCAGTTTGGTCACATGTAATCTATTTATTTCAAAATAGGTTAGGAAAAGGTGAAAAACACGAAATGAAAATTTTTGAGTGTTTGTGTGTGTATATGTTTATCTCTGTATGTGTATGTTTCTTGTGTGTGCTTTACAAAGTAACAACGGATAAGAAAGAAATAATATATTTAAATATATGAGCAAACATCCTTAGAGATATTTTGGCAAGGAATGGCCTTGGAATATATATCCAGTCTAAAATATCTCGAGATGGTACTGAAAGAATACTTACATATAAACACCATTGCAAACAAATAAGGCTAGGCAAGAAAGTGGCAAGGTCCAGGAACAAATGTCTTAGAAAACTCGCATTGAGTGGATTAGTTGCAATTTCTACAATTCTTAAAACAATAAATAAAACTCTATGCTACTCGATAGGTGAATATGCTTGCCCAGTTTGGCGAAGATATGTCCATGGAAGACAAGTAGATGTTACCCTTTAACGAAACATGCCGAATAATTACCGGGTACATAAAACCTTCACCCATTCCGTACCTCTAGAGAGACACGAGCTTTGCCACTTTGCCACCTGACGACTATCCACCGCGCCAAGATAATTCTGGCACCACACAGCAGGTGTGTACAAACAGATTAAAAACAGGTCAAGGCAAATAAATAAGATGGGGTAAGATCAGATTGACGCATAGGACTCACTATGCGAATGCAGTGAAGTTAAGAACATAGACCACCTGCTATACTAGAAACAGCACCTAATACCAGAAGCAATGCCACTGGTGTCGCTTGTTAATGGGCGAAGAAAACTTAAACTTTTGGATCCAAACATGAAAAATGAAGTAAGTTAATAAGAATCACAATAATTGGTAGTAGCAAGTAATGCTACTACTTACTAAACTAAAGTTCATATCATGATCACAATGATAGTGAAGTGGATAATACTGAGTGTTAACAAAATAGCAATCTAATAATTATAAGTTGCTTGCGTTGGACATTGAATAAAAATCCAAATAAAACGAAAATATCTGTGAGGAGTAAAAAACGTTGTTTACTAGTAGGTAAACAAGATTTTTTACAAATTACTAGGTATACAAATAGATGAAAAAATAAGTAGTTGGAAACCTAAATGTACTCATCATTCAATATGGAGAAATGTGGTTGGCATTCCAAGAGAAAAATAATTGGTTTAAAACGAGAGATTAGATGAAAATACTGAATTCAGAACAATTTCCTAGATGTCAGAATACCGTATTGCTTTGATGTATCAATCGTCAACGTCGGTTATCATTGATGTGACACATAAAAAAGACAAAGGAGTGGCTAGCACAATTATAAATACTGCCGATAAGAAACCTTATAACAAACATTTGAGAGAATAACTATCCGGTGAAGGCAAAAATAATTCCCAAAAAAATATTTTTTAAAATATTTAGGAAGGTCAAAATATAATATAACAATAAAAGAACAAAATCTTGTTTTCAAAACTTCCATAAAATTTGTTTTAAATTATTTATCATTACAGCTCTTTCGACAGAGTGCCTTTCTCAAGTGATCTATTTTTGGTATGTAAATACACTTTATAATTTTTAACTGAATAAAATAAGGAGAGAGAACTGTTTGTCTCAAGTCATTCAGAAATATGTCCGTATGTTTATTATTATTTGTTTATTTCCATTGATTTTAATAAAGATAGCTTAAGGCCTTTATTTTGAATATGAAGAATTTAAAATTAGCCATTAAAAAATGATTATGGTCTAGAAGGTAAAGTGCATACATAGAATATTTTTTTTATTATTTAAAGCCCTTTTATGTTCTGCAATACGTTTGATAAGTTCTATCAGTTTGACCGTTATAAGTTTTTGGGGCTCTTCTTCTTCAGTCTAAAATCGGTTTCATCTTCTTCATTCATCAATCAAAAAAGATTTCATCTTTTACACATTTTGCATAGCGCAGAGGATACAGAAAACGATATTATCATATCGTTTCGTTCACAGCCGCCAAAGCAGGTGGCGCCTTTGTAAGCTAACTACGTTGTAGTGAAGTTTTGGGAGACATTCGTTGGACTTTCGAGTTTGAATTTGTATCAGCCCAAGTGTCTGATGAGGCTGAAGCTTTCGCTAAAAGATTTAATCTTTTACATAATATAGAATATATATAGAACATAGAATCCTTCGAAAAAAAAGTTTTTGGGTAGTCGCCATGTTTAAGTTTGTATGCACCACAATGTAAGTGCTTTTTATATTGGATTTTGTTGTTTTTTATGAGCTAGGCCATTTTTGTTCATATCTTGTATGTATATGTAAGCGAACAAAATGCGCTGGATTCTTTCTCTGGTGGTGGAAATACTAATTTTAGGGCTTTCTTCTATAGTTTTTTATTTAAAAATATATTTATTGATTGCTTGTTGTGCCCATTATTTACTGTTATTTGCTAAATGATATTTAATTCTCCTTGAAAGTGTCTTTTGATATGAAAATTTCTATTAATCTATGTAACGTGATATGGTATACTATGTAACATGAGACTGCCAATTTATGTTGTGTAGGATGGGATGATTAATTGTGTATAGTCGCGTCAGTATGGCTAGGTATGTTTTTATGTCTTATAATTTTTAAATCTAGAAAATTTATTGATTGATTCTGTTCTTATTGATTGATTACAAATTTAATATAACTATGAAGTGAATTAATATTGGATAAAAATTAGTCAAGTTTCCTGTTAGTTCCTGTAAACCATACCAGTACATCGTCTATGTATCTTCACCAATATAAAAACTGTTTGAGTACGAAATGTTTTGAAATCTTTGTTTCTAGATGATCCATAAAATTATCTAACAGTAATAGTATTTATTATTTGTAAGGGTAGCATCCATATTCATAGTCATTTTATGAGGTCCCAACATAAATTACTTACAAGAATCTTAATTTTGAGTATTTGCTATCGGATTCTTCCTATAATGGGATCTACGTTCGTCTAGTTTTTATCCCTTGACTACGTAGATGTTGTGTTTGTCTATTCATCTCTTTGAATGTCCCATTTTACTATATTTTATTTTATATATTTCTCTTTTTAAACTTTTTCGATAACTATTTATCTATACGATAAGTTATCAGACTGATGTTTCTGAGCCGGCTATAAGCGTTTGGCAGAGTTTTTCACTACAGGGGGGATGGTCGGTTTCACGTACGATAAAATACTTGTCAAACATCGGGCCATAAAGGGCCACACGCTGCTGGTATGTTACTTTCCGGATCGGAACGGGTGGAACAGACCAGCAGGACTAGGTCGGTTTTCGTATGGCGGGGGTTTGGTTGCGTGATGATCGTAGCAACCCAGCCGGCATCGCCCGGCCTGCAAACTAAAAGAGGTTATGGCTCCACTCTGATAGATATTTGATATACTGTTATTTGTATATATTTAATTATTAAATTCAAAGTAGTCCTGGTTTATGCAAATTACAAGAAGATGTAAAATTTTAGATGTAATGATTCTCTTCGCACGTCTACTTATTTAGTTATCAGTTAAATAATATAAAATGGAAATATATACCAAAATAGATAACTTAAGAAAGACACTGTGCCGAAACAGCTGGAGTGATAATAATTTATAATAAATTTTGTGGAAGTGTTAAAAACAAAAGTTTTCAGTATTTTATTGTTATATATAATGAATTTCCATCAAGAAACGGTCGAATCCATCACTTATATCAAATATGTAGTAATGTTTTATTTTTGGTACTTGCACCATTAACTATTAATAAATATGTTAAATGATTTGCAGAATCGTTGTAATAATTATTTACATGATTATGTGCACGTTTTGAACAGCAATTAATCTATAAATATAATTTTTTAGGCGGCTTGTTTCAAGTAGTTGTCAACTGTGTTATAAGTTGCCTATCTAGTTACTGCGTATTGAGTCAAATTTTTAAAATTTTTACTTTTTAACTCAATAATAATAATAAATAATATTAATGTGACAAACAGTGACAAACTATGAAATGAACTTATTATTGATTATAAAAAGTTTTACTATTATAAATAACTACAAACATTTTATCAAATTTTTTGTCCCGCGATTTTTCGACTAGTATTTTCTGATCTTTTTCAGCCTTCCCAGCGAAATAATGAACGTTGAATGAAGGTATCAAATAATATACTAATTACTAGAAATACTGTTTTACAATAGATTAAATATAATAATACTGAAAGTAATTCCAGTTGAGAAACCATGTTATTTTATCAAAATCTGGTTTTAAAAGCATAATAGGTACTGGTTTCACTTTTAAAACACACAAAAATTTTGTTAGTAGTCTGCACAAGGCTTGGCGCAATATGTACCATGTAAATCATGTCATCATAAATGAAGTAAATTGACCTTACATTCGACTGCGGAAGACTTAACCACTAAATATATAAACAAATTATGACTAAGACGTCCTTAAATACCAGATGAGGGCCAAGATCACTTACTTTAATTTGCTTTTCTAATATTCGACTAAAAATGGTCTTACATAAAGTAAACATTATTTAATAATTTTAAATATGCAAAAAATGCCTCATAAATCAATGTGAAATAAAACAAATTTGAAAATATTTTTGTTTAATCTTAATAATTTTCTACAGATTTATCGAAACAAGTATAATAAAAGTTACAAAGTTTTTTTTTTTAATTTAGGCAATGGATATTGAATGGTGGCCCATCACCCGTGATAGTACAATGTATTGTTTTGCAGTAGTTGCTTTAATTGTAGTTGTAGAAGATGGCACAATTCTACTTAGTGAAGCTATTGCTTTAGTTGTGTTGTATTCTTTATATATTTTATGTAAGTATACTTCATTATTATAATATCACACGTGATAACTAATATTATAGCCCTTATCCTCTTTACTTTTATCCCTATGCTAAATCGGCTTTTCTACCACTGGTTCTTGCATTTGTCGATTACGAGAAGGATTTTGATTCTGTAGAGTTTGAAACAATACTGGAAGCCCTAAATCAAAGCCGAATAGATTACAGGTACACGACACTAATCAAAAACATCTATCAGAACACTACATCAAGTATACGACTGCACGAAGACACAGAAAAATTCAGCTTAGGCCGAGGAGTTAGACAAGGAGACAATATTTCACCAAAATTGTTCACGGCAGCTCTAGAGTCAATATTTACTTAATACTCAATGGCAAGATATGGGCATCAATATAGATGGAGAAAGAGTAAATCACCTAAGGTTTGCAGATGATGTTGTATTAATCGCAGATAACTTACATAATACAGTTTCTATGATGCATTCGCTTAAAAGTCTGTCTGAAAGAGCAGGATTAAAGATAAACTTTGAGAAAACTAAAATTATAACAAATCTCGTAATGAGTGGAAATATAACTATTGACAATAATACCATACAACAAACAGACACTTACAAATATCTGGGACACGAAATCAAATAAGCAGAGACAATCAAACACATGAAATACAGAGGCGAATAGGTCTAACATGGGCAGCATTTGGCAAATTAAGCCATATTCTAAAAAGTTCAATTCCCATGTGTCTCAAGCGAAAGGTTTATAACCAATGTGTTTTACCTGTACAAACTTATGGAGCAGAGACTTTAACACTCACGCAAAAATCTGCGAATAAACTTAGAGTTACACAACGAGCTATGGAACGTGCAATGCTGAACGTGAGCCTTCGAGACCACATAACAAACCAACAAATCAGGCGAAGATCAGGAGTTCAAGACGTCATCGAAAGAACCACGACGCTTAAGTGGAACTGGGCAGAGCACTTAGCCAGAACACAAGATGGACGGTGGACAAGACGTATTATGGAATGGAGGTCCAGAAATTATAAAAGAAGCCGAGGACGACCACCGACTAGATGGACCGATGACATTAAACGTGTAGCGGGAAACTGGCTACAAGGGGTCCAGTGTAGAGAACACTGGAAAGAACTCAGGGAGGCCTATGTCTAGCAGTGGACGCGATTGGCTGATTGATGATGATGAAATCGGCTTTTCTAATCCTTCTTCTTCTTTTTTTGACTGGCTTAATAACTCGAAGTGGGTCTTCTTCGCATTCACTATATTCCTCTATGTATCCCTTATATGCTCTTGCGCTTCCATTTTCCATTGTTATACCCCAATTACATTTGGAGTTTTTTTTATACGATTGTCATATCTATATCAATCCCCTTCACCTATATGCCCTGCTTAAGCGTCTCGTACCAAGTCTTCTTTGGTTTTCTTCTCCTAAATCTTTCGGAAACTTGCAAGCCAGCACTTTTTCGGTTAAACAAGGAGATCCTTTTGCCGATTTATTGTTTAACTTAGTCCTGAAATATGCGTTAAAAAAAGCACAACCAGAGTAAAAAAATGGCTTTGCTATCGAGGGTTCAAAAATGTTACTGGCTTTTGATTCTGCTTTTTCTTTTAATTACGCCGTCTTCTTTCCAAGCTGGCGGTCCAAATGGCAGTTGTGGCTTTTAAAACTGCTACACGAAAGATTTCTGTGGATGAGCGGTAAAAGCATATTATTAGGTCTTTCAGCCACGAGTTCGGGCGTCTTTCAGCTTATCTTTTGCCCTGATTTTTACCTTTCAATGTGATTTGGAGTAATTCATATCATTCACCTCTCAACAGATGACCCAAGTATATATACATTTCAAAGGCATGTGTTCTTTTTTTGTTCATTGTCTAACTTTCACAGCCATACAGCAAAACAGAGAAAACATAACATCCGATTAATCGAATTCTGAGCTCTAGGTCTACGGTCTGATCTTGTAAAAAATATTTTAATGTTAAAGCTTTTCAGCTTTATAGAAAAGAGAGGCAAAGACTTTAAATTTAATTAGTCTGACTGCTACTTGGTCAAGTAGCTGGAAGAAACTTTGATATACAGGGTGTGCAGAAACTCTGCTGACAAATAAAGTATGGAGATTCCCCAGATAATTTTAAGACAATTTAACCCAATTCACCTTGTCCGAAATGACTTCCTAAAGGACCTAGAGCTTTTTGAAGTTTTTGAATTGTAATCAGTTTTTTTTTAAATACCTTTAGAGAAATCTCTATTTATAAAAACAAAAACTTGTACGATTATTTATCCTCTAAAATTAAATCGATTACATTAATTACGAATTTCTAGTACCGGTCATAGGCGTCCGTTTTGGGTAGGTCAACGGTTACTTTAACGCATAACTTTTTTGTCATTAACTTTTTTAAGCATTCGAAATACTAGATTATTAAATTTTCAGGGGTTTCAGTACTAAAAGGTACTCTTACTTTAAGTCTGTAGAATACACCGTTTTCTAGAAAAATCGATTTGAACATTTTTCGGTTTTGCATCATGAAAGTTAAATTAATAGGTATCTGAATTAAAAATTATCTTTTGTTTCAATCAATATAGCACACATTTTGAAAAAAAAAGTTTGGGAATGGAAGCAAAAAATCAAATTAAAACAAAATTTTAAGTAAAGGTTTAGTTAAGTGTTTATTACCATGGAACGAAACTAACACAAAAGAACACGTGGATAAATTTTTTAAGAAATTTTTTTGTATATGTACGCCACTGATAGCAATTAACTTACACGTTTTAAATTCTACCTACGTAAATTCTTCAGCAAATTTTCATGAAAGCCAAAAATGTATTCAAAAGATATTTTTATCCACAGATTAACTTTCTCTGACCAATTCCCAAAATTTTTCCTACATCGGTATAGAAATATCGAAGTTATTCCCCGCCAATCCCTTGTCAATAGTCAGGCATTGCAATCAGAATTTTAAGTATTGCAGTATAAAATTGTATCCCAGCTGAGCTGGTCGCTTCTTGTTTAGAGTTTTATCTCTCGCCTATTAGTTACTGTTTTACAGCTTATAGTTAAACGCTCAGTCTTAATCAAGGATACTCACATTGAAGAAAACCTCCTTAGTTGAAGTGATAATTAGTAGTAACATTTTAATCTGTATCCGTGCTAGTGTATCATCATCATCACATAGCACTACAACCCTGGGTGGGTCTTGGCTGACTGTACAACTTTTTTCCAATTTGTTCGGTCTTCCATCAACCTAGAGTCAAATGGAATGTTCATTTTCCGGAGATCTGCTTGGATGTTATCTCTCCATCGCATTCTGGGTGAGGTCCGAAAATTTTTCTAAGTATTTTTCGTTTCAAGCATCTCAGCTTTTCTTCGTTTGCTTTGGTCTAGGTCCACGTTTCGCATCTGTATGTTATTACAGGTCTGACGATGGATTTATAGATTTTGATCTTTGAACTTCTTGTAAGATTTTTTGATTTTATGAGCTTATCCAGTGCAAATAGACAGCGATTTGCAGATTGGATTTTGTCTTTTATTTCTTCAGTGACATCGTTGTCAGCTGTGATTACGGCCCCCAAATACTTAAAACGTTGCACTCTTTCGAAATTAAAGGTGTTGACCGTGACATTTTGTCCTATTCTGTCTCTTCGTGTCGTTCTATTTATACACATATATTTCGTCTTCTCTTCATTAATCTTCAGCCCTACTTCACTTGTTGCTCCTTCCACCTTGTTGAAAATGTCTTTCGTGGATAGGATGGAGTCTCCAACGAGATCTATGTCATCTGCCTATGCGAGTAACAGCTTGGGACCTTGAACCGATAGCAATTCTGTTTTTATTTCGGCCGACCTCATGGCTTTCTCTAATACAAGGTTAAAAAGTAGTGGAGATAACGCATCACCCTGTTTAAGTCCACTGTTGATTTCAAAGCTGCCAGATAGTTTATTATTTACACGTACTTTAGATATTCCACCCTCCATGCAGACTTTGGTCATCTGAATGACTTTCTTTGGTATTGAAAACTCCGCCATGGCATTCCATATTTGGCTTCTTTTTACGCTATCCTATGCCTGTCTGAAGTCTATGAAAATATTGTGTATGGGTCTGTAATACTCCTATCCCTTTCCTAGAAGTTGTGAACTTGCGCTAAAACTTTGGCTAGATATTAACTTAGTTGTAGTAACATTTAATTATTAAACTACGTATTGTTTGAACTGCTTATGTTCTTATTTCCCACGTCAGTGGGTGGTTCTTCAAGTTAGAAGTAATTACAAGACTTAGTACGCTCTAAATGGTAGCAAGATCGCCATCCTAATTTGTTGAACAAATGTCCGTTTAATTCTACCAACATGTATCAAAGGTAGATAATTACAAAAGATGCAGATGTGATGACCATTAGCCTCTATGCATAAATTTGCCCTTGTGCTTAGAGAACGCCAAATTCTTACCCAAATTCCAAAATTATTTAAAATCTCCTTGCATACATATTGTATTTTTAACTAGATGTATGCACGATTTGTAACGGAAGAAAATAAACAAATAATTTTATGCATTCCAAAATACAATAATCGCAAGGATTCATTCAGATCCGGCGACCTTGCTGTCAAAGCAACTGGACCGCTTCTGCCGATCCAGTGGTCTTGTAGAAACCATAAGTTTTGCCGAATATTTAAAGGCAAATCATCCAACAAATCAGGCAAAACATTTTGCAGGAAATCAGCAAGATTTAAACAAGCATACAATTCCATAGGTCTAAGTAGATAATCTTCAATTACTCCTATCCAGACGTTTTTGCTAAACCTATGCTGATGCTTAAATTATTGAACAACGTGAGGATTGTCGCCAATGTACGAATAATATTGTGCGTTTGTGTATTAAAAATTCCATTTTTTGTGAATATAGCTTTGTGGCAAAACAAAATGTATCTGAAAAAATCTTCTTTGATTTTTTTAAAATTGAAAATCTTATTATAGCAGTGCTTTTAGGTTTTTAAAATGAAAAGGATATAAATTTTTGGTAGTGTAAGATATTTCCTACCGAAAATTTTAAAATTTTGGGATACATGGCAGATAGTCTTTGAACTTACTGAATGAATTTTACTCAACTTCCGTTTAAATATCATCTTTATGTGCTGCTGTTACATCATTGATATCGCCGTATTTAATTATTTATTTGGGACCATTAAACCTGTTTCTCTTAACCTTAAGTACGTGAGATGCTGACGATTGTAAAATTTTTCAGCGTATCTACGTTGTGCTGCTCGAGCTTATTTCGCCATAACGTAAATGCATGTCAGCGTATTCGTCATAAGTAAACACCATTTTTGTTGAATTGAAATTGTTAAATTGTTGTGTTTGAATGCCACAAAGTAAAAAACTAAAAGACTAACTTTGCAGACCGACAAAAATTTTACAATAAAAACATAGGTTATACTTCTGTTGGCAGTTCAAAGCCAACTTGTGCAAAAAAATATTAATTAAACTTCATGACACAAAATCGAAAAATGTTCAAATCGATTTTTCTAGAAAACGGTGTGTCCTACAGACCTAAAGTAGAAATACCTCTTAGTAATGAAAGATCTGAAAATGTAATACTCTAGTATTTCGAATGCTTAAAGTTTAAAGACAAAAAAGTTATGCGTTACAATAACCATTGACCTACCCAAAACGAACGCCTATGGCCGTTACTAGTAATTCACAATTGATGTGTCAATGACAGCTATAAAGGTTTCCTACCAGTTTTCGTTTTTCTAAATAAAAGCGTTCTGTAGGTAAAAAAAGAACTGGAGCAACATGCAAACCGCCATGAAAGTCATGAACTATTTAAAAAAGTTAAATATTTAGCCCGAGAGTTCAAGCCACAACTTCAAGCCATTCAAGACTCTAATGGAGAAGTAAAAACCGACATAGAGAGCATCGCAGAGACCTGGAAAAATTACTGCTCAGAATTATACAAAGACACTTCAAAAGATGACGCATCAGTCTCAGAACACAAAAAACATGCAATCAGAGAGGCTGAACCAATCATTTTACGAGCAGAAGTAGAGAAGGCTCTTAACCAACTAAGAAACAAAAAACTCCAGGAATCGATGGCATAACAGCGGAGACTCTAAAAGCAATAGGCGAAATTGGCGTAGATGTAATGCTGGATATGTGCAACATGATATGGATCACAGGTGAATGGCCTGATGAGTGGTGTGAATCAACCTTGATCCCTATCCATAAAAAAGGATCACTAACCATATGCAGCAATTACAGAACTGTTGCCCTTATCCCTCATGCAAGCAAAATCCTGCTACATATAATCAATGAACGGCTAAAGAACTTTCTACTTCCAGAGATAGCCGAAGAACAATGTGGATTTGTACCAGGAAAGGGAACGCGTGAGCAAATACTCAACACCAGACAGATAGTAGAAAAAGCGAGAGAACATAACATACCAATGTTGCTCTGTTTTGTAGATTACACAAAGGCTTTTGATTCAGTAAAATGGGATCCTCTCTGGAGTATAATGGAAAATATGGGAGTACCTAACCACCTAGTTAACCTAATAAGAAATCTGTATAATAAAAACTCAGCCAAAGTTAAAGTACATGGAATATATTCAAATGCATTCAAAACAGAGAAAGGAACTAGACAAGGTTGCATACTATCACCATTATTGTACAACATATATTCTGAATATATAATGAGAAAAGTACTAGATGAATGGGATGGAGGAATCACTATAGGAGGCAGAAAAATCAGTAACCTGCGATACGCAGATGACACACTTATACTAGCAGCGAATGAAGTCGAAATGATTACCATCATCGAACGGCTAAGCCGAATAAGTGAAGAATTCGGACTTCAAATCAACACCAGAAAAACAAAAATAATGATTGTAGACAGAGCAAATAATAATCTACCGCATATACGCCAAATAGGGATTTTCGAAGTAGTCGACAGATTTGTATACTTGGGCTCTCTGATAACCAACAATGGTGATTGTTCCTCAGAAATCAAACGTAGACTAGGAATGGCCCGAACCGCAACTGCTAAATTAATTAAAATATGGAAAGACCGAACAATAACAAGGAATACTAAGCTTAGGTTGGTCAATGCCCTTATTTTTCCCATTGCTACATATGCAGCTGAAACATGGACTCTCAAAAAAATCGATAGGAGTAAGATCGAAGCCTTCGAAATGTGGGTATATAGAAGAATTCTACGCGTGTCCTGGACAGAACATAGAACCAACCTGTCAATTCTGGAAGAGCTTCATATAAAAGACAGGCTACTAAAAAAAGTAAACCAAGCATACCTAACTTACTTCGGCCACATAGCTAGAAGAACGGGCACCATGGAACTATTGGTAGTAGAAGGTAAGGTAGAAGGCCGAAGACCAAGAGGAAGATCTCCAATACGATGGGTGGACCAAATGAAGAGTTTGGTGGGAAAATCCCTACATGAAGCCGTCCACATGGCACAAGATCGCAGTCAATGGAGACAGCAGACTAATAATATTTAGGGTGTCACTACGCCCTGACAAGGGCTAAAGGATTGAGGAGGAGGAGGTAAAAAAAACAAATTACATGGCGCCATCTTCAAGAGCTCTAGCTCCCTTAGGAAGCATTTTTAGACTAGGTGAATTAAGGTAAATTGCCTTAAAATTATTTGAGGAATCTCAGGTCTTCGTTTGTCAGGAGAGTTTCTGGACGCCCTGTATATACTAATTAAATGTGTCTTTTTGGATTTTTTTCTTTTTTTTTAAGATTGTTATTTTGCATACTAATTATTTTATTTGATGTTTAAAGTGATGTGTTTCAACAGTAGTCTTAGCAGGATAGCTCATAAAGTAGTAGCGAAAATCAAAAGAAGAAATTATTATGTTGAAGTGATGGGAGAAACGCATCCTCTGCTATACCGGAAGAATGGTAAATATCAGGGACTTGACGAAATCCTTCAAGAGGAAATAACGCTTGAGGACTGCGAAAAATTTGGTAACCAAAACTGCATAATTAATCCTAGTGTTAAGGCTTATTTAAAGCTATAGTATTCGTGTGCATTTTTTTTTTCTAAATTGGTGTATGGGCTAAATATGTATCCCATTTAAATTAATATTTTAAAAATAAGCTAATCTTTTATGTAAAATTATTAAAATGCACCGTGCTTAAGCTTTACAATTAAAATATTTTACTGATGTTATTTATAGTTTATTTTTATGAACGAGAGAGTAATTAGCATAATTTTAACTCGTACCTTCGACCACTCCATGGGCGTGCTCAAGATTAATTGAAAAACTACTTTGTATAATTGTAAAAAATAAATGAATTATTTCAGTGTTACAAAGTGTTATGTGTATGTAAACAAAAGTGACAAAATTCACATTTTTTTTTAATTTTTAAAAATTACAAAAGAGAAAAAGAGTTTTTAAAACCGTCTAAGGTATGTTAAATAGATGAATAAAAATATTAATATAAAACTTACAGCTACTTGTTACAAATCCAAATCAGATTCAGAAGATGAACTTTCAGAACCAAGATTTATAATAACTGGCTCGATCATTTTATCAGTAATATTGTCCAGCTTCCACATTTTTTCCTCTTCTTTAATAGTGTGATTTACTGCCTTTTCCCAGTTTTCAGGTTTTACATTATTTACGGCCTCCAAAAACAACTGTTTAACATCATGAATTTTAAAAGTGGTATTTTTTCTTGAAACTTCACTCTTTATCTGTGCCCATACCAGTTCAATCGGGTTTAATTCACAATGATATGGTGGGGATCTAAGTACTGTCATTCCACGATTTTTGGCAATTTCATCAATTTCGTATTTTTTAAATTTTTCTTTATGAAGGGCACACAACGAATAAAGTTCCTTTCTTATAGATCCGGGATGGTACGTAATATTTTTTGAACTCAGCCAATTCTGCAAGTCTTTTTTTAACCACTTGGTTGTGGGCAGTCCTTCTATAAGTCTGGAGTGATAACTTGCATTATCCATTACTATTACACAGTTCTTAGGAAGAAGATCTATCATTTGTTCGAACCATTCTTGAAAGACATCAGCGTTCATGTCTTCATGGTAGTCACCGGTACGAGTTGATTCAAAAGTTAATAAACCACCTTCAACAAAACCGTCTGAACTGCCAATGTGTACTATTATCAGCCTGCGTCCCTTTCCTGATGGTGGGTTTAAACCAGTAGATAAGTTATTTACAAAAGCGTGCCTTTGACTTGTAACAGTTTCATCCTGCCAAAATTTATTTGGTGTATGACCCTCGTTGATCCATGTTTCATCAAGATAAAATATTTTTCTTTTTTGGTTTCTCATTTCCTTTATGGTTCTTAGAAAATGTCTTCTCCATATGACAATATCGCTTCTTTCTAATAAAATAGACTTTCTGGGATTCTTTTTCCAGCGGAAGCCTATTTCTTTTAAAAGTTTCCATAACGTACTTCGACTCATTTCTGGGTAATCCTTATCATCTCGAACTGAGACAAGAACTTTATCCAATGTTGGAAATTCTTGTCTAAAGAAGAATTCATGCACTTTCCGTCGAAGTCCTTCTTTAAAATGATATTCTATTTGAAATTTTGGTTTCCCTGGAGCATTACGTGGCATTTGAAAACTACCACATTTCTCTTCTTTAATAACTCTGTAAATCGTAGATTTCCCAACACCAAGTGTACTGCTAACTAACTCAACGGTCTCATCAACACTTTCACATAAACGTTTGTCTGTAAATGATTTAAAACAATTAAATATTAATGTTTTTTCATTAACTGTTAAAGGACCAATTTTTCGGCGTTTACACGGCACTTCCAAATTTTCCATAACACTAGTATACACAATAAACTGCACCTTGCAACTGAAGTACCTACTTTTAGTGAACTGTTAAGAATTTTGAATACGCCACTTGGACCTTCCTACAAAATGGAAAAACCCACTATCACATTTTCTGTGGAATAAGTTTAGAAGGTAATTATCTAGTCAATTACTGTCGTAGATTCCTGGAATTAAAGAATTAAATGTTTGATTGTTGAAACCCTTACTTCGTGGAATGCACTCATTTCAGATAAAATAAAACGTTTTATTTTATCTAAAGAATTAAACTTTATTTTGCAAATAGGTAGGTACTTATTAAACTTTTATTGGTTATATATAACCAATAAAATAAACATCTTACATTTCTTGCAAATTCATTAGTACCTGTTAACCTCCATCACTCCGACACTGGCAACCTTATTTAGGGATTAGTAACCCTCACAACTATTGTATTCTATTCTGCTCCAACCTTTATACCTGGTGGTCATACTCAATTTAAAATTGTTTTCCTATATACTTCTGTAAACTTGTTGACAAATATCTGTTTTTCATTGAGTCACCCGTATCAACAGTTTAGGGATTTGCATACATAATTTATTGTTTTATTACTCTCTCATACATAAAAATACACTATAATTTATGGTTTCAGACTGACTAAAATAGACAATCAAAATAAATTTATTTAGAAATATTTATTTAAATTACGTAATTATTTTAATTTACTCTAAAAATAATGGAGTAATATTTAGAAACGAAGGAAAAAATAAAATCGACGTATCTTCATCTTTCCTCACTAGAGGTCTCTAGTTGCATACTTTGGTAGTTATTTTCCTGTACTTACCAGAGTAATCGGTGCGTATTGATTTCGTTTGAGTCTTCTTATAAACTCCTTATGATGACGGGTAGACCCAGAAACACGTGCTAGTAAGTGATAAGAGACTCAAATTAAATCAAAACGCAACCTTCTTCGTATAAAAAATAAAACTTGATGTACAAAACAAGTGAGTAAAGTCAAAGCCATGTATAAAGACCGGTTTACCATTTAATTCTGATAACTTTATTGCTACTGGATCAAATAAGCGAAGATATCTATTACACGATCTTTATGTGTAATATTTTACTTCTCTATTGTGTCTATCAGCGCTGCTGCTCAACAAGTCTTCGGAATAGTACGGAATATAATATTATCGTACTATATACAGTGAATTTATTGATAAACACGTTTTAATAATTTTCCTTTAATTTCTTGTGATGTGTAAAGTAGGTTTAACAAATAATCAAGGTTATTCCATTACAAGAACATATTATTAATAACAACATTAGGTTCCCTGCACATAATTATCATTGAAAAATTATTAATGCTATATAAAAACTGTTATCGACAAAGATATATGTATTTAAAAATGTAATTTAAAACTATTATTCTTATTATAAGACAATTTTTTTAATCAGGAAAGTTTAACAGCTATAATAATTTTCATTATCATCATTGGTGCTATAGCCCTATAAAGAGACTCGACTTTCCCAAGTCTATTACGCCAGTCAGTTCCTATCCATTGCCAACTGTTGCCAGTTTGCTGCGCCTATTTTTCTACCATCCTCATCTACACCATCCCTCCATCTGAGTTTTGGCCTACCCCTTCTTCTACTTCCCACAGGTTGTGACATAAGGATTCTTCTAGGAGGGTTGTTCTGCTGTGATCTTGCCAGATGTCCTGCCCATCTTAGTCTTCCTATTTTTATAAGAGATACTAAGTCTTTACCACCAAATCTATATTTATATCTGTGATATATCTCATAGTTGTACCTCCTTCTCCAAACACCATTTTCACAAATGTCACCGAATATTCTTCTCAGGATCCTTCGTTTAAATATAAGCAGGAGGTTTTCATCTGTCTTGAAAATGGTCCATGTCTCCGATCTATATGTCAACACTGGTTGTATAAGGTTTTGTATATGGTTATTTTTGTTTTTTGGCTTAAGTTTCTGCTTCTCATATGTCTACTCAATCCAAAATAGCATTTGTTTGCTAGGATTATTCTTCGCTTGATTTCTTCCATCATGACGTTCTCTTTGGTGATCAGGGAGCCTAAGTATGTGAATTTGTCCACCACTTCAAAGGTAGAGTTATCAACAGTGAATTGGTGGCCGATGTTTCTGGCTCTATTGTTGGGTGTTGATGCCATTATCTTAGTTTTCTCCCCATTTACTTGCAGGCCAATATTTGTTGAGGCATTTGACAAGGTGGTATATATTTATTCTAGTTTGCGTGTTGTGCGGGCAACTAGGTCAACATCATCTACCTATGCCAAAGTTTGGGATGATTTATTAAAAACGTTTTCTCTGTTGTCTACTTGGGCATCCCTGACCGCATTTTCCAGAGCCATGTTGAAAAGAAAACACGCCAGCGCATTTCCCTGTCGCAGCCGAACATGCGTTTCAAATGCCTGTGATTTTTCACCCTGTATTTCGACTTTACAAACAACTTTACGCATTGTAGCATTAACCAATCTTATCAGTTTATCGGGGATGTGAAATTCGTCCATGGCTTCATACAATTTATTTCTTAGGACACTATCATAGGCCGATTGAAAATATACGAAAAGATGGTATGTGTCGATATTGAATTCATTGGTTTTTTCCAGTATTTGCCTTAGCACAAAGATCTCGTCTGTTGTTAATCGACCAGGCCTAAAAGCACTTTGATGTTCGCCAAAAAGCTCCTCTGAAGATGCACTCAGGCGACTATATAAAATACTCGACAATATTTTGTATGCTGTATTAAGGAGGGTTATTCTCCTATAGTTTCTACATTCCAATTGATCACCCTTTTTGTGTAGCAGGCAAACTATCCCACCACTCTTCCGGGATTTTTTCCTCATTCCAGGCTCTTAGTATGATTTTATATATATGGTTAGTCAGAGTAGCACCTCCACATTTAATAAGTTCTGCCGGCATGCCATCACTTCCAGGAGATTTATTATTTCTTAGGTGTTTCATTGCATCCCGCACTTCTTAAATTAATGGAGGCTACAATGGTATATTGTTGCTTGCTCCTGGGGGTGGTTGATTTGGATCTTCTAGTTCGATAATAAGTAGTTCTTTAACCACCTACCTTTTCAATACTTCTTTTGTATTGAATATATGCCCCTCCTTATCTTTACATAGTCCG